TATCGGAGTGAACAGACAACCTGCAAAATGGCAGAAAATTTTTGCAATCTAATCCCTCTGACAAAGGTCTAATATCCAGAGTCTACAAGGAACTTAAACAAATTTACAAGAAAAAAACAAACAACCCCATTAAAAAGTAGGCAAAGAACAGGAACAGATACTTCGCAAAGTAAAACATACATGTGGCCAACATCACTCATCACTGAAGAAATGAAAATCCAAACCACAATGAGATACCATCTCATGCCAATCAGAATGGTTGTTATGAAAAAGTCAAAAAACAACAGATGCTGGTGAGGTGGCAGAGAAAAAGGAAAGTATTTACACTGTTGGTGGGAATGTAAATTAGTTCAACCATTGTGAAACAGAATGTGGAAATTCCCCAAAGTCATAGAGGCAGAAATACCATTCGACCCAGCAATCCCATTACTAGAAATATACCTAAAGGAACATAAATCATTCTGTTATAAAGATTCATGCATGTGTATGTTCACTGCAACAGTATTCACAATAGCAAATACATGGAATTAACCCATTAATAGCAGACTGGATAAAGAAAATGTGGTACATAAACACCATGAAATACTATGCAGCCATGAAAAAAAAAAGATCATGTCTTTTGCAGTGACATAGACGAAGTTGGAAGCCATTATCCTCTGCAAACTAAAAAACTGGAAAAAAACTATCTTAAAATTCATATGGGACCAAAAAAGAGGCTGATAGCTGAGGTAATCCTAACCAGAAAAACAGAAAACCAAAAAACAGAAACAGAAAACCATACATCATGTGTTCTCACTTTTAAGTGGGAGCTAAGTGATGAGAACAAATAGGCACATGGGCAGCAACAACACACACTAGGACCTGTAAGGGGTAGAGTGAGGGAAGAGAGACCATCAGGAAGAATAGCTAATGGATGCTGGACTTAATACCTAGGTGATGGAATGATTTGTGCAGCAAACCATCATCGCACACGTTTATCTAGGTAACAAACCTGTACACCCTGCACATATACCCCTGAACTTAAAATAAGTTGAAGGAAAAAAAATCTTCAAATAGACACTTGTTAAAATCCTCTATAAAACAACCTATCACAGTAGAGAAAAAGTTTCCACAATACTAATCACTAATAGAAAGTTTTTGAGTATGGCGAAGAATGTCGCCAGATAATATCTATCTGTAGTGAAATTAATTTGGAAAAATTATAAAGGTGGGGTATGAACTAGAACCATACCCTAAAAGACTCTTGGAGTACATTCAAATGGATTTTATATAACTACTTCATTCTATGTGTGTTATATATATTAATAACGGTATATTTATTTTCTGGATGAGTGGAAGCACTCCCTTGTCAAAAAGCCAGCATTTACAATGGCTAAAAAAGGATCAGAGTTTGTGTTTCCCACCAAGGACATTACATCTATCTAATAATACAGAGACGCATCAAGTTGGAATGGTTTTTCATGATTTGAATTATAAAAGCTTTGCCTTTTAAACAAATCCTTATTGCTCATATCACTTCAATCCTCTGGAGAAATAGAAAAGGTCTTAATAGAATCAAAAAGTTATTAGAGATCCCAAAGTTCTCTGAAGGGCTTTCAGAAGATGATCTGCACAAGTTGACTGCTAACCCAAAAGCCTCAGAACAAGCAGATAACCACACAAAACAGGTGGCTTCTGCCTAAGACCATCCGAACAAGATTCTTCCGTCACATTCTCTTTAACATACCTTTGTCTATTATTCTGTTGATCATACTCCTCTATTTACTGGTTTAAGCTTAGGTAGTTGTGATTTAGCTATCATAATACCTCTTATAACAAATATAAGCTTTACTAAAAACGATTATCAATCTAACTGTATCTTTCTCCCAATCTAGTATAGACAATCTAAAAAATAATATAAAGGTATGTTACATTAACTATATCAATAATGATACCCTTTCAGGACAATGCCTAAGTGACTAAAATGTCCTTGTTCTGGAAAAGCAGGATATAAATATTCTTGTCATATAACTGTGACTGTCATGACAACATAAGGGATAATACATTTACAATCCATGAAGGTTAATCATCTCCCTGGTGTAGTAAGTAGGATCTTTTTCCTTTATGGAATTCAGCACCAAGGTTTTCAATGCCAACCATGGTCCAAGGTTAATTACTCTGGGGGGCTCCTGGTTAGGCTGTTTTAAGGTTATAATTCCCCAATACCCTCAATTGACTACATATCTTTATAAAGAGTCCAAAGGGACAGATCCCTTTTTAGGGAGACTCCTCAATTACTCCATTCTCACATTGCTATAAAGAACTACCCGAGATTGGGTAATTTATAAAGAAAAGAGGCTTAATTGACTCACAGTTCCACAGGCTGTACAGTAGCATGGCTGGGGAAGCCTCAGGAAACTTATAATCATGGCGGAAGGGCAAAAGGGAAGCACGTCTTCACATGGCAGCAGGAGAGAGCAAGTGAACAGGGAGGTATTACACACTTTTGAACAACCAGATCTTGTGAGAAGTCACTCATTATCAAAAGAACAGCAAGGGGGAAAACTGCCCCCATAATCCAATCACCTTCCACCAGGCCCCTCGTCCTCCATCACTGGGAATTACAATTCAACATGAGATTTGGGTGGGGACACAGAGCCAAACGATTTCAACTCCTGAGGATAGTGACCTATCCTATAGGAGTTTGACAACTTGAGGACACCATAAAAATGTGTTCCTTCACTTCAGCTGACCCAGTAAATAACACAGCCCAACCCTTGGAGATACAGCAAATAATTTAAATTTTTCTTAACCAGGCATCTTCTTAGTCTTTTTCTGCTGCTATAACAAAATAGCTGAGACTGAGTAATTTATAAAAAACAGACATTTATTTCTTGCAATTTGGGACGCTGGGAAGTCCAAGATCAAGGTGTTTGCAGATTTGATGTCTAATGAGGTCTTCGTCCCCTGTTTCTAAGGTGGCACCTTGTTGCTGTGTCCTCACATGGTAGAAGGCAGAAGGGCAAAATGGCCTAAGCTAGTTCCCTCCAGCCCTTTAATGAGGCACTACTGCATTCCTGAGGGCAGAGCCCCAAATGCCTCCCACTTAATAACACTTCCCCAGAGACCCTGGAGGCCCCCCACTTAATACCACCACAGTAAGAATTAAGTTTCAACATGAATTTTGGAGGGGACACATTCAAACCATAGAACCAAAGTAGTTATAGGTAATAAAATAAGCCATGAATTATTTTCTTTTTCCAACCAGAGAGGTGTATGCACCAGTGCTAACACTTCATATGTACCTTGGTTAACAAAATAGTTGTTTGATGTCTGTTGTTCAGTCTCAAATGCTTCTACAGAGCCACTGAACTAACATATGATGTTATAAGCACCAAAGGGGCACAAAGAATAAAACATTTACATCCTCCCAAAAAGACTGTTTAGAAGCCATGAGAATAAGCAGCTAGTTTTAACTACCAGTTTTTACCAGTTTTTAACTTGTCCACTAGATCAATGCCAACTTGCCTTTTTTCCCTTTTTGAGACAGAACTTAGCTCTGTTGCCCAGGCTGGAGCGCACTGGCATGATCTTGGCTCACTATAACCTCCAGCTCCTGGGTTCAAGTGATTCTTGTGCCTCAGCCTCTCAAGTAGCTGGTACAACAGGTGTGCACCACCAAACCTGGCTAATTTTTGTATTTTTAGTAGAGACAGGCTTTCACCATGTTGGCTAGGCTGGTCTCGAACTCCTGGCCTCAAGTGATTTTCCTGCCTTGGCCTCCCAAAGTGCTGGGATTACAGGGGTGAGCCGCTGCACCCGACCAACCTGCCTTTTTGTACATGCTTTTACAAACCTGAAAACCAGTGAGAGTCCTTTCTTCCTAAGGTCAAACAGAAATGGACCCACTCCAATTTACATGTTCCTGAATGTGATCAATGAATAGTCTCACTCTAGTAACCACACTCTATAGATTTTGATATGAATTCCATTATTTCCAAAAAACCTATATGAGATTAACAGTCTGCTCTGCTCAAAGACTGTGCCTGAACAACAGGTTCTCCCTTACTATATAGTAAGCAATAAATTCAGCTTTGTCTTTTATATCAGATGTTGAGTGGTAGGCTCATCAACCTTTGACAGTCTTATATTTGATATTATTTCCAGTTTCATGATTGCTTACTTGATTTAGGTCCTGATAATATCAGCAGCAGCTATGATTACTTGAGTATTAATTAAGCCAGGTATTATGCCATCCACTTACATATGTTAAATCTGGATTACCTAATCCACCACTCAACATCTGAAATAAAAAGACAAAGCTGAACTTATTGTTTAATTACAGTAAGGAAGAGCTATGTTGGTCAGGCATAGTCTCCCTGAGCAGAACAGACTGCTGCATTCTATAACTTTTTTAATGACCAAGCAAGCTGTAAACATAATCTCTGAAATGCCTTATTTGAGAACAGAGATATTAGCCTTTTAAAAGATATGCTGGGCCAGGCATGGTGGCTCATACCTGTAATCCCAACACTTTGGGAGGCCAAGGTGGGCAGATCACGAGGTCAAGAGATCAAGACCATCCTGGCTAACATGGTGAAAACCGATCTTTACTAAAAATACAAAAATTATCTGGGTGTGGTGGCGCATGCCTGTAGTCCCAGCTACTCAGGAGGCTGAAGCAGGAGAATCGCTTGAACCTGGGAGGTGGAGGTTGCAGTGAGCCAAGATCGTGCCACTGGACTCCGGCTTGGCAACAGAGCAAGACTCCATCTCAAAAAGAAAAAAAGATATGCTGGTAATTACCCAACTCAGAAGTAAGTTTACAAGACAGTAAGGAGTCTACCATTTTTCACACAATTCTATTTCCAGGAATTATCTACTACATGTTGCAGTAGGACACATCATTGAAACAAAGTATCATATCATTTAGTAGCAATATCATTTAGAACCTTGCTAAAAGCTTTTTTATAAAACATACTTGTTAGAAAAACAGACAAGAATCATGCAACACCATCTCCTATCATTCAACAAATTAACATAAATTTATTGGGCGGAAAATGTGAAAAGGGACACACACAAAAAAAGGAGTAGTTTTGTACTAATATAAGAGTTCATAAAATTATAAACTCAGGTCTGAAATCTTCAGCCCACATCAAAGACTTCACGTTCTTATGACTGTAGAAACAGGACAGCCCTGGCTGCTGGGCTCATGGAATCATGGAGTGGAGCTATACATGAAGAAGTGCCCTTGTCAAGGACATCACTTCCTCTGTACCTCAGAATGATACTTCTTAGGCATGGGCCTAAGATTCTGTTTTTTCTCCCATCGACGCAGAACACATTGACTGGACATGACATCATGTCTTACATCTTGGTCCTGTTGGAAAGAAAATACACCTAACACTGACTGTTCAAAGCTAACTGCAGCAATCTGTACCTGTTTTGCCTCTATACATGTCCTTTATTCATGAAAACAGGTGATTTTAATCTAAAAAGTCTGTGACAGGTGGAACTTTGTAAGAAAAAAAACTGGTTTCCTAGCATTAGTGTAAAGAAATGGAAGATGAATGGAGAGAATAGTGAGATGACGACAGAACTTCGGTAATTAGAAATCTGAGAAGCAACAAGTAGAAAATTGTTTAAGACATCCATGTCTTAATCTTACCTCTTCCTGACACCTGTCTTCCCCGGAAGGCCTCTGTAACCGGTTTTTTGTCAGCTCAAGTTGTAGACCATCAAACCTGTGCTTAAACCAGCGATGAGCTTCTTCCAGGTTAGCTGTTATCTGAACATATAAATGTCACCATTAAAAGACACAAAGAAAGTTACAAGTATTTTTTGTAATATTAGTTGCAGACTTTTTACTTAGAAATTAAAAGACCCAAATTCTGACTGCATGTTCTTTGCAACCTATTTGCACAACATACTTAACAACCTACACGTGAGAGTAATTTCTGAGTGAGGGGTTAAAGAATGCATTGATGGTGTTGGGAAAACTGGCTAGCAATGTGCAGAAAGCAGAAACTGGACCCCTTCCAGTCACCTTACACTAAAATTAACTCCAGATGGATTAAAGAGTTAAACATAAAACATAACACCATAAAAACAATAAAAGAAAACATAGGTAAAACCATCCAGGACATAGGCATAGGCAAGGACTTCATGACTAAAACACCAAAAGCAATGGCAACAAAAGCCAAGATAGACAATTGGAATCTAATTAAAATTCAGAGCTTCTGTGCAACAAAAGAAACCATCATTAGAGCGAACCGGCAACTAACAGAATGGGAAAAAATTTTTGCAATGCAATTTACCCATCTGACAAAGGGCTAATACTCAGAATCTACAAAGAACTAAAAGACATACAAGAAAAAAAAACCCCATTGAAAAGTGGGCGAAGGATATGAACAGACACTTTTCAAAAGAAGACATATATGAGGCCAACAAACATATGAGAAAATGCTCATCATCACTGGTCATTAGAGGAATGCAAATCAAAACCACATTGAGATACCATCTCACACCAGTGAGAACAGCAATCATTAAAAAATCTGGAGACAACAGATGCTGGAGAGGATGTGGAGAAATAGGAACACTCCTACACAGTTGGTGGAGTGTAAATTAGTTCAACCATTGTGGAAGACAGTGTGGCGATTTCTCAAGGATCTAGAAACAGAAATTCCATTTGACCCAGCAATCCCATTACTGGGTATATACCCAAAGAATCATAAATCATTTTACTGTAAAGACACATGCACACGTATGTTCATTGCAGCCCTGTGTACAATAGCAAAGACCTGGAACCAACCCAAATGCCCATCAATGATAGACTGGACAAAGAAAATGTGATACATATACACCATGGAATACTATGCAGCCATAAAAAACGATGAGTTCGTGTCCTTTGCAGGGACTTGGATGAATCTGGAAGTCATCATTCTCAGCAAACTGACACAAGAACAGAAAACCAAACACCACATGTTCTCACTCATAGATGGGTGTTGAGCAGTAAGAACACATGGACTCAGGGAGAGGAGCATCACACACTGGGGGCAGTAGAGGGGGTAGGGGAGGGACAGCAGGGGGTGGGGAGGGATAACATGGGGAGAAATGTTGGATATAGTATACACCTAAAGTAAAATAAAAAATAAAAAGAATGCATTGCAGACTTGCTGCTTTTCATGTATTTGTTAATGTTTCCTGGATGTGAAGTAATATAAGAGAGGACCCAGGAGAAAATTAAGAATGAAAGTACAAGATGTCTTTGAAAATGAAAAAATATATAAAAGACTCTTAAGAATGTAGTAGTTTATGAGCCAGGTGTGGTGGTTCATACCTGGAATCACAGCACTTTGGGAGGCCAAGGCTGGTGGATCACCTGAGTCCAGGAGTTCAAGACCAGCCTGGCCACATGGTGAAACTTCATCTCTAAAAAAAAATAAAATAAATTAGCTGGGCATGGTGGTACACCATGCACTCCAGCCTGGTGATAGAAAGAGACTCTGTTTTTAAAAAAAAAAAAAAAAAGTATGATTTTGAAATACTCCACAAAAGGCCAATTTAAGTTTAGAATACAGAAAACAAATACACAAATTAGTTAATTAGGGACTACTTTACTTTTTTAGTTATTGATTGATTGAACAAAGAGCATCTACTTTCAGAACGGTCATGCCAAATAATAATGCGTTAAAATCCACACACATGCTGGACTTCCCTTATATTTAGTAGGGAGACTTGGACTTCAGGTTTAATATTTTAGCATTGTTATCTACCATCTATCATCAAGACACAGACCCCTAATCTAAAAATCACTCTTTACAATAGAGACTACACTTAGGAAGTTACTGGTTCTTGCCTATTGCATTCCTGACAACTATGTTAATGAAGGATTTCACATTGACTTGGGTTGTTTCAGGGTTGCTGTGTTGAAGGAAACATGTCCAAGTCTGGCTTGTCTGGGTCTGGCTCACCTGTTCTGATTCGACACTGGCTTCTTTCAGTTTATTCTCTGTTGCCTCTTTACATTTCTTCAGGTGTCTGACAGTTTCTTCTAATTTCTGAAAATGTGATACAAAGATTTTTATAAACTTCCAATGTGCCATCGGAGCCAAATGCTTCACTATTATAACAAATGGGCAACCAAAGATAAAAGTAGGATGGAGTGCCTTCTAACTTCAGGTGCTGCCAACATATGAGATGAAAACTGTGATTTTCAGTTTAGCCCATAGTCTACATATGTGGATATGATTATACATTTTGATTTTTCAGTTATGGATTCTGTTGAGGAAAGTGATTAATCTCTTTTCAGAACTGGGAAGATACTTTTCATGACAAACCCTATTGGAAGACAAGAGCTCAGAGATCTCTTGAAGTCCCTTTTCAGTGATATGATGTTACGCTTTTTATTCATTTAGGAATACCTAAGAGTCCTGTAACAGCAACAGGTGTATCTGTGCTAGGAGAAGAAATAAGGTGTATAAAGCTCCTGAAAGGCTATAAAATTCAGTTCAGAGTAATAAGTCTTACTTAGGTAACTGATACTTTACATATGTAAGCTCTAAATGTTCTTTAAAAATTGACGTGACTTTTATTAAACTGAAAACGGAGAACATTTGCCACATTCAAACTACGGCCTTCTTCCTCCATACTGTTATTCTAAGGACTTAGCTAAGATAAACAATTTGTAAATGTGTGTTGTCTTCTGTAGACTCTAGAAAGTCTAGGTCCAATACTGCTGGGCTTTGGCACATGCCATTTGCTGATCATCCTTAAAATAAATCTTAGGAAACCTTTCACCTGGCACCGATTCTCTAGCTCCTGCCTTATTTTCCGCTCTGCTTCTAGGTGCTGCTCCTGTTGTTTATTCCGTACTGAGGCATCATATTGGCTCTTGGCCAACATCTGCATCTCTTTCTGCAGGTTAGTCATTTCACACACGAATCTCTGGATACTCAAAGACTGGAAGAATACAAAGATGGAGACATTTAGTGAACACCCTCCAAGTTTGAGATTTTGCATGACAGGTAAACATAGAGTATATGGAAATCATCTACCTGTTCAAAGTTTTTTTTCTGATACTGATCCTTAATTAGCTCCATTTGCTTCAATTCTGTTTCTATTTGCTAAAAGTAAATGGAAAGTAACATAAAAAGATGATCAGTGGAAAAACTGGCTTGCTCTTTTTGCCTATGGGATGACAGACAGAGTCCAATATGAGACCCAAAGTTACCAGTTCCTGCTGAGCTTTCTTTCCCATCTGGCCCACTGATCCTGAAAGAGTAAAGTCCAATACAATCAACACGGAAGGGACAGTTGGGGAGCCAGAATGTGACACTGGCAGCAAATGAGAAATCAAACATTTACACAGCAGTGTCTCCACTGAAAAAAGAGTCTCCCCAAAGGCAACTGGCTGTAACTCCCAGAGAAAACATGGAGTGGGTAGGGTTCTAAAACCTGTCTTCCCCAGATACCACTGACTGCCCACATCCTCACAGGGTACCCAGGAAGTGAGAAGAAGTTTCTCTTATAACCTTCATCCTTTCTATATTCTGAGCATTATTCGCCTTAGCTGACAAGTGGAGCTTAATTTGGGCCTTCTGATTCTTTATTTTCTCCTTGTTACTTTCTAGCATTTTTTCTAGCTCTGCAAGTTTCTGTCGCAGCTCTCGGTTGGTCCGGGACACTTCCACTGATCTGAAGTTAGCTTCATCAAGGGCTTTCTTCAGCTTAAAACACAAGGGAAAAAATTGAAACATTTTTACTTTCCATTAAGAGAATCTCACTTAGTTTTGTCCTATTTTTTTGTCTTTGGATCTTTCTTTTTAAAAGGAGCATTAGTATGGCAATAATGTCTGATTAAGCAGATTTATGGAGTAACAGACCAAGTGGTTTTCACAATTTTTATCACTAAAGAACAAAATCTTTCTTGGAATAAAGAATGTAAATGTATATTCAGTATTTGCATTTTAAGAGCCTGGCTTTGGAGTCAGATTTCAGTCCAAATATCAGCTTCACCACTTACTAGCTCAGTGTTTTGAGGCAATTAACTATCTTAAGCCTCAGGTTCATCATCTGAACGGTGTGTGTATAGCCTAACTCATAGGATACAAATAACAAATAAGATCATATAGAGAAAGAAGTAGAGTCTGGCACACAATAATTACTCTGTGATTATCATGCTATAAGCTCTTCTCTTTCTGTCATTTGTAACCTCAGTCTGAAGAAATGAAAATGAATTATATGGCAGTTTCTATAAATATCTGTCAGCTATTGACTGCCATGGCACACATTTTTATAATTTTGTTTTTTGTTCTTAAGGATTTTAATTTCTCTTGTGAAAAAAACTGCAAAGTTACTTAAATAATTTTACAGAGTTCCGTCCTTCTAATATGCTGTTAAAGCAGTGCCACTTGAAAACTTTAGGAGCAAGAGGTAGTTGAGAAGGGAGAAAACAGGAAGGTGGTATTCTCTATGGCTGGCAGCATTTAAAACAGCAAAGAGTGAAGTCAAGGGTAGTCTGTACCTTTTCTCTCTATACTAGTCCCTTCTTTTAGATCCTAACTTTACAGTCTTTTATTACTACCCAACTAACTTTCTGTTAGACAGTCCACTGTTTCAATCACAGCCTTTCTAAAACTGGATAAGCCCTAACAACTATCATTTACTTTGTACTGATTAAGTTTCAGGCACTGCGATAATTACTTTACAAATGCTTTCCCATTTAATTCTCAAAACAAACTTGGAAAGTAGTTGTGATGGTTTACATGTTACGATTGAGGAAACTGAAACTCAGAAATTAAGTCACTTATTCAGACAATAAATTAATACACAGTAAGATGCAGAGCTGGGACTCAGGCAGCGCTCTGTGAGCCTATCGGTGCTGCCAACTTCTCACTGCTGTCACCCTTTCACTGTTCTTCACTGTCACTGATACTTCTTTCAAAGGATTTCAGTTTTGTAATTATTCTCAACTAAAGGTACACTTCTACAGTTAGCACATCTTTATGTTCCCTAATTCTTCTATAAAAAGCAGAATTTGCTTTTTATAACATTTATATTTATATAGTGCTTTGCAATTCACAAAATTGTTTTATATACCATTATTTGAGTTTGATTTTGTGAATAGTTTCCATCAACTGCAACTACTAAATGTAACAAATTTGGTGAAACACAGACCATCCATGCCAACCAAGGAATTATTTTAATCCCTCCCTCTCCATGATACAACATTTAATGTCTGTCTGATGATTTTTCTTTTTTTGAGATGGATTCTCACTCTTGTCGCCGGAGCTGGAGTGCAGTAGTGCGATCTCAGCTCACTGCAACCTCCTTCTCCTGGGTTCAAGTGATTCTTATGCCACAGCCTCCTCTGAGTAGCTGGGATTATAGCGCCTACCACCGTGCCCGGCTAATATTTTGTAGTTTTAGTAGAGATGGAGTTTCACCATGTTGGCCAGGCTTGTCTCAAACTTCTGACCTCAGGTGATCCACCTGCCTTGGCCCCCCAAAGTGCTGGAATTACAGGGGTGAGTCTCCTTGCCCAGCCTGTTTGATGATTTTTCTATTGGCTTTTCTCTATTTTTCAACTGAACTACTTTGCTTGGCCCTAATCATTCTCAAATTAACTGTTATAGTTTTCTTGAGCCTCCATGCCTCCAGTTTCTTTTTATTCTTCTCTACTGTATTCTGCTGTTACATTAACCTTCCTAAACTCATGCTTCTATCTTGCCACCCCCTGCTCACTCATAAGTAGTACTCCATCTCTACTTAAGAGTTCACATCCAACATTTCCATAACTAAGGCCATCCATCAGGTGGTTCCATGTAAGTTAACACTCTTTCTCTAACATTTTCCAAAGTCTCTGCTCTAATCAAGACAGGCTACTTTTCATCTGCTAACATGTCCTGTTCATTTTTGTAAGTAAGCTTGGCCTGTGCTGTTTTGTAAGGTGTCCAGCCCTGTCATCTCTGCTAGTCTCAATCCTGTACTCTCATTAAGCTTTCCTTCTTCTATCAACCAAATGGCCTAAAATAAACTTTCTCTTACTTTGAATTCCTTCAAAATTGCACACAGCCTCTAGCTACACAAGAAAGTTCTCTGATGTTTTCCCTATTTGCCTCATGTCCAGAGTGGAGATCACAAACAAGGGTCATTTGGCACACACAAGGGCATGGACCATATCTTCTACTGTTTTCCCTGTCTCTCTCAGGAAATGGTAGATGCAGAATAGATGCCAGTTAAGTGAACTGAGAAGAGAGATGATTTCATTTCTGTCTATGACATGGCAGTCTCCTTATTCCTCTATCCCTCTTGGTTATCACTCTGATGGAAAATCTCCTATCAAGGTACTCCTTTGTTGGGCAGAGAATTATCTGTCAGAACTTTTTTCCTGTGTGTTGCTTTACAGAGAGGTCTCAATTACATCTGGCTTGCTGGTCAAAAGGGGATGAGAAGAGTCAAAGAACAACTGCAGCCATTCTCTGAAATCTTGGAGCTGCTTATCCTCCTAAGAGGCATTCACCAAGACAGAAACTTTTCTCATGACTCTATACCTCAGCCACTTCCCGTTGTGCCACTTTCTTTGCAGTTTCTCTCTCGGTTTGAAACTGCTTTCTTAGAGTTTCTATGTGTTCAGCATGCAATTCTGCTTCCACTTTGGACTCTTCAGTCATCCGTTCTCTGTTTTGAAGAAAAGAGGTGAGAAGTCACCTTTAGAAATCACTTTAAGAGGTAAGAAAGTTTTGGAGGGGAGTGTCCAACTCTAAAAGGTGTGTGATTTATAAACAAGCAGCCTATCAGTGGCCTGGTGAACCTCACTAATTTGGAGCTCATTAACAGAAGAAAAAAGAAGTGAATTTACCTGTAATATTAAAAAACATTAATTCTATGTAAAGAGATCCAATCAAATGAGTAAAAAACTCAACGTCAAAGAAAAATATTAGAGGAAGCAGAAATACTTTATTTGTTTTTGTCTTTTCTCAAACAAAACCATTATTTGCACAGCATTGTATTTTGATTTTCTTAATAACTTTCTAAATTGCCTTTAGATTTATTCTGTTTATTATAGTAAAGCGATTAAGACTATGGGTTTTGGAGTCAGCCTGCTGCTGCCGCCTGTATTGTAATCTCAGCTCTAGTAAGATGGTATCTTTTGGCTGGCAGCTATTTACCATTTAAATATTAACTTCTAATAATATTGTTCCTTTTCTTTAAACTGAGAGCTTTAAATTAGATCAGCATTCCTAACTTGAACTCCTTGTTCAAGACCCATGGTTAATCTTCTGATAATGTGGGAATTCCCTGAAATAATATGCAAAATCTGTATGCGTGTGTGAGGGGGTATAGCTGAGTCCATAGCTTCTGACTTTTAAAAGGATAAATGACTCCAAAAAGGACTTAATGGACTTAAACAATTACTAGCCTTCTTCCAGCTTTAACATTCCCTGAACTAGCTGATAATGAATTACTCTATGATTACTCTTGAGTTACTGGTTATTTCTCAAAGGGTAAGAGGAGCCTGCCCTGACATGAAATCGACTTCATTTTCCCTCTCTCTCCTGGTCATCTCTTGCTCTTATTTGGATAATATATCCATGTTCTCCATGTGTCTCTAAAAGCACATCTACTAAAGGATTCAGTCTGTCCACTTGGCAGCATTCATTGGGCTTGGTCTTACAGACTTGCAGGTAGTAACTGCAACTGTCCCCTCCAGTCCCCCAGGCAGGAATGTATCAATAAACTTTGGCACATCACTTCTAAAAAGTTGCTGAAGCCTGTCCTCAAGGCACAGCATAAAGGGATGGAAGACCCTGAAGTCACTAGGGATAATGATGGTTCTTTCTTACATTCCCACATTCCTCCCCATGCCCACGTCAATCTGGAAAATGAGCAAAAAATTCATGGAGCTATAGAAAGAGAACAAAACCATCATTTGTACAGTACTGCATTTTGATTTTCATATAACTTTCTAAATTGCCTTTAAATTTATTGTGCTTATTATATCAAAATGATTAAGACTCTACGTTTTGGAGTCAGCCTGCTGCTGCCTGGATCCTAATCCCAGCTCTCATAAGATAACGTCTGTCCTTGAGTATGGTACACCTACTTCCCCTGCTTGTTTCCTTATCTTCAAAATGGAAATAATAACACTAACCACCATCATAGAGTAATAGTTTGTACCAAAGGAAATAATGCATGTGTAGTCCTTAGCATATTACCTGACATATCATGATCATGTAACAAATATTAACTATTGTCATCATCATCATCATCTAGCTCTAAAAATTCAAATTCTAAATTTTAGATTTTTAAATTTTTTATTAACTTTAATTTTTAATTTAAAAATGTCTCTCAAGTCTGTACTTCTGCCCTAAGCCCCTACATAGCACTTCAACTCTTACTTTCTTCTTCTTTTTACTGTGGTAAGAACATTTAACCTGAGATCTACCCTCTTAATAAATTTTAAGCAAACAATATAGTGTTGTTCACTATAGCCTAGCCCTGTGTTACACAGCAGATCTCTAGAATGTATTCATCTTGCTTTTTTTTCTTCTAAGGAAAATCGCAAACCATCTACCAATCAGCCTCCTCAGCAGTCTTCTGAAGACTCACCCAGCTTCTGCTTCCCTCTAAACCCAAAGGAAGAAATATCCAACCTCATCTCTAAAGATAACCCTTCTGCTTATCCTCTCTCTTGTTCTCCAGTTCAGTCGAGTTCTTTCCCATACTTTTTAATCATGGTCCAGTTCCTCTCATTCTAAAAACAGGACAGCAGCAGAATAACTTTTCTTTATGTTATGCTCTTGAGCTGCTATACAATCTTCTTTACCTTCACCATTGTCCTCCTTGCCTGCCTTTCCTCATCTATTACTTACTCTTTGTTATCTCTGATATCTATAGAAAATGGCCATTTGGAGGATGAGCGGTAGATATCTGTTGCAAAACCCAGTGGCTTCCTCTCTGGTCTCTGACTCTGCAGCATATGACTCACTTTTTGTTTGCCTTTGGTGATATTACATTCTCCCAATTCTTTCCTTACCTCCACTAAATGCTCCTTTTCTGGATCCTTCTGTGGCCTCTGTTCCCCTTCTACCTGAAATGCAGCACATCTCCAAGTTCTGACCTCGGTTCTCTCTCTATACTTTGCCCGTGGCAGTCTAACCCATTCCAAGACTTTATCTTTTATCTTTTTTTTTTTTTTGAGATGGAGTCTTGCTCTGGTGCCAGGTTGGGGGTTTCACCATGTTGGCCAGGATGGTCTCGATCTCCTGGCCTTGTGATCTGCCCACCTCAGCCTCCCAAAGTGCTGAGATCACAGGCGTGACCCATCACGCCTGGCCTTTAGCTTTTATCTTTATAGAGATGAATTCCAACTAGCAGCCTCTTAGAACTAGGCCTACATTTCTAAATCTGTTAAATAACCACCTGAAACTCAACAAGTTCTCCAAAACCTGCTCTGTCTTCCTAAGCTTGTGCACTGATAAGCACAGTTCTGCATATGATTTTAGGAGGTTCACAGATCTCAAGCAGCATGATTTACCTATGATGAAAATACAAACTATTATCATAAGCAGTGACATAAAGGTAAATTCTGAAGCAAATGCTGCAAGGAGACCTCTAACTCTCACCTCATGCTTTTACTGTGAATTCCTAACCATGGTTTTTTCTTTTTTCTTTTTGGTTTTGTTTGTTATAAGCGGTAGTAGTAGGAACTACATTTTATAGTTACCTAAGTAATTTTCAGGCTTTTGAAACAGTTACTAACCATCTAAATCATAATTACCTAAACTGACACTGAAGAGTTTTAAATGATGCTGCCAACCATTACATAAACACAGTAAGGCAAAATCTTAAGGCAGTAACATTTCAGCTGACTATAAAATTTGCAGAGATCATATATCTGGAAAATACTGTCTTTGTTTCAGCTTATACCTCTTTCCTCTATCAGTATGCTCACTAAATGAAAAGAATAAATATCTAGGCCAGGAACAGCAGCTCATGCCTATAATCCCAGCATTTTGGGAGGCCGAGGCAGGTGGATTTTGAGCCCAAGGGTTTGAGACAGCCTGGGCAACATGGAGAAACCCTATCTCTAAAAAAAATACAAAAAAATTAACCAGGTGTGGTGGTACATGCCTATAGCTCCAGCTACTGAGGAGGCTCAGGTGGGAGAACTACTTGAGCCATGATCACACCACTGCACTCCAGCCTGGGCAACAGAGTGAGACCCAGTCTCAAGTAAATAAATAAATAAAAATACATAAAGGAATAAAGATCTATGTGCCCACTGTATTTCCATTAAGTATAAATTTTCACAGAATGCTATTAATATATAAATAATATCTACCTATGTATAATTTAAGGTAAAACTTTAGTCATTTGATCTGAACTGGATAGGTCTCATCTAACTAATCTCCAGTCAAAACTGAAAACATTTAATGGCTTAACATCTGCTTAGATTGAGTCATTCCCCCCAGGCTGATGTTTTTTCTTGTCTAAATCGCGCTTTTAAAGAACATATAAGCTGTTAATAGAAAAGCCTTGGCAGAAACATGTGAATGTCTCTTCTAATCAATATTCTTTAAGTTTTGGTTTAACCTTCATGTAAAACAGCAGCTTGATAGTGGATGAAGGAAAAGCTGAGAAGGAAGTCAAATGAGCATGCTCTAGCCAGCTATTATCTGCTGGTGCTCAGCTATGCCGGATCCTTAACATGGCTCTGCTGGGAGTACTAGTTCAAAGTAGGAGAAAAGGGTTTAACTGATTTATGTGAATGAACTATTTATGTGAATGTGACTTACTCCTCCAGAGGCACTTCCCTAATTTTACTGTGACTATACTGCTCTTACTTGAAGGTTTCCAAATTCTGTCGCTCAAGTTCTTTGCTTTCTAATTGCTCTTGCATATGATCTAGCTTTGTTTGCAGATGATTATTTGTCTGGAGAGCTTGTTCCAGACTCATAGCCAGTTTCCTGTTGTCTTCTCTAGCTACATCTAGAGCTTTTTGTAGAGATTCAATCTGAAAGAGAAGAATGTTTTCAATTCCACTGTAACAAAGAGATGCAAGAAGTTCATAACACTGTGTAATCACTCCTCACATTCTAACATCAAATGCTACTGAAACAATTAGATGGAACCAGAAGCAAAGATTCCAGGTGCCTGGAATATATATATAAGAACTTATTACAGACATTCCTTAGGAAACCCTTAGAAGCCAACGGGAAAGGTATGCTCCATTAGTCAACAGAGAGCTTTGGTAAACAGACCCACCTTAATTTATCCTAATTTTTAAAATTTTAAACTAAATATCCCTTCCTGATCCTATGACCTTCTGGTCTCACTCCCTAGAGGAAAAAAAAAGACCTGTCAACTGTTCCTTATAGATTCCTACAGAAAAAAACCTTATTTATTAAATATCCATGTGTATTTTATATGTGCATATAGATATATATACAGGTATGTACACATGCCCGTAAGCACATGTGTGTAGGTGACTCCTTATTAATAGTGGGATCACTCTAGCTGCTTGTGACAGATTATAAGTTATTTTCTAAGCCTATGAACTTCTGAAGTCATCTGTGCATTAATAAATGAATAAAAATGCAGATCATATAAGACAAACAGATTAGTCATTATTGTGGTACTAGTTTGCCAACAAGTGACTCATTGTAAGACAGGTCAATTTCCCATCGGTGGGTATGTCACTGTCCAAAACTCAGACTTGACTGAAAAAAAACATTTTCTCAAGAATAGTAATATCCCAATAAAACCAAAAGTATCAATGTTATCATTTTTTAAAGCCTGGCCCTGACCTCACTGTTGTGCTGGTCGTCCATGACGAGCATCCTGGCTTGCCACTGGTCCACTTCAGCTTCCAGCTTCTGCACCCTCTGATGATTGAGATCCCTAAAAACAGAAAACACAGAAAGAGTGACGATAGAAAAGAATCATGTAGGAATGATACCACTTGGGAGTTCTTCTAAGAAGCTGAAACAGATGCTCAAAATATCTGAGAGTTCATAGATGACAATTAGTACCCTTAGCTTCAGGTTAAGAAACTAAGGCTCGGCTGGTCCGAGTGCAGTGGTGTTTACAACTAATTGATCACAACCAGTGACATATTTCTTTGTTCCTTCTCCACTCCCACTTCTTCACTTGACTAGCCTTAAAAAAAAAAAAAAAAAGAAAGAAAGAAACTAAGGCTTCTAGGAATTAAATAACTTGTCTCATTTATAATTCAATTTGTCTTCATACATCAGGCTATCAATACATGTTTCTGACTTACTTATGAGCTGGTAATTTTATGTTATATATTTATTTTACTAGTGATATATGTCACTATAGTAAATAATTTACTATTTTACTAGTAATACATATCACTAGCAAAAAATATATCACCTTTACAAAAATTGGCTTGCTGTTGAGATTTCCACATCTATATATAACAGCCACTTATAAATTTATTGTGAATAGTAAATATTTTTAATACTATTCCCTTGACTTTTTAAAAATTCGAAGGTAATATACTTTCATACTATGTAAAAAACATAAACACAATAAAAAAATAAAACTCACTTGTTCTCTCATAACACAGAGGCAATATGCCCTATTAATCCCAGACCATTTATTCTTTAACCTAAAAAGAAATTTAATTTTTGAAACATTCTATGAAGAAATGTACTTATAAAACATGGTTAGAAGTGGTTCACAGAATGATTCACCTAAAATAACTATTAATCTTGAAACAGGATAGTAATAAATGGATAATTCAAACTAAAGTGTGTACCTAGTTTCAATTATCTTGACAATTACTACTCTGTAGAAGCAAGGACAGAATTAGGTTTACATGGTGCAGAAAGCAAGGGTAAAACAACAGTACAGCTAATGAATTTCTAGGCTATATAGTCTAGAAATTCCTTCACATTACTACATTATAGGGGCATTCTGAATTTTTGGAAATAATATTTCTAATTCTAGATTTTCTCTAATTTGGTAGTTCTCTAAACATACCATTTTACTAGATTTTTGCAAATGAAGCTACATAAAGTGTTTTCATTTATTAACTTGACACTGCTTCTTAATACAATGCAGCAATACCAATGATAGGGAAAAAAAAAAACCACAGGTACCTTTCTTTCTTGAGGCCTGCAATCTCTGAATCCCTCCGCCCAAGCTCTATTTGTACTTTCTCCAGAGCACCTTGCATCTTACTGTGAGAAGCCAGGACATTCTCCAACATGATTGTGACTTTGCAGTTGTCTTCTTTAGCCTCCGCCAATTGTCGCTGAAAGTTTCCCACCTAACAGAAAATGAAACAACACAAAGACATTTGATCCTTTCTGGTTACTCTTTTGCTTGTGGATCCTATTACTCCTGCTTTCCCATTACTATGGAAAGCAGGCAAGCAGACACAGTAGGATGTTAAGGGGAAAAATTAAAGTATATTTTATTTTTAGGTGGTTTCTTAAGTTACTGTTGAGAAAAAGAAAAGCTGACCCCAGATTCTATGGTGAACTCTGCAGCTTCCCAACTATGGTCATGTTACAGCAAACACATTAACCAGAGAGGCCTGACTCAGCACAACCTCCGTCCAGAGGTGATGCCAGGCTGGCCTCTTAGAAGTCTTCTGATGGGGTCAGATGGAAATAATACATCTGAAATGCATCAGAATTATCTGAGAAAAAAAGACTATAAGAGAAAGTGGAAGCTGCTGAACAATGAGGTAACTCAGAGCCCTCCTTAGAGAGGCAAAATCTAGCACTTGCTGACAAAGAGAAGTTTGGGATGTGAACTCTATTCCCACTAAACACACACACTGTTAAAGAGAAAGCATCACAGAAATCTTATATCACATTAATACAACAAAACTATAAAGGTTACTATTACCAAGATCAGTCATGTTTCAACAGAAAAAATTAGAACTTTCTCTTTTGGCATTTAAGACAGAAAGTTTAAAAAAAAATTGGGAGTTATATATATGATGTAATTTTAAGGGAAAAATTTTAAACTATTCTAAAATTATCTCTTCTCTAAAAAAAGAAATCCTCCCCTGACCAATCCTCACTCTTTCTTACTAATGGAAGCAAGAAAGCAAAACATATGGCTCATGAAAAATTTCAAAAGCGCTTCTTCTCAGTGACAGACAGTCAGAAGAGACTGATTCCTTGCCTTCTTGTTTTCCCTGTCCTCCATAGCCTCCAGGTCCTCTTTCAACTTCTGACTCTCTTTCAGGGCTGCATTACGACACTTCACTGTTCGGGACAGCTCCTCTTTACTTCTTTCAAGAATAGATTTCACCTAAGCAGAAAAAAAAAGAAACAATAAATAACAGTACAAAACATGACACATCAGTGATTAGAATAAGACATAGCAATTTAGAATCCAAATTTAAAATGTACAGTAGAATCTTATATCCTTGAAACAGTTTTAGTAGATCCATACCATCAGCTCAGATAATCATACTATTTTAAATATTACTTTTTAAACTTTTATTTCAAAACAATTTTAGGTTCACAGGATGTTGCAAATATAGTGCAGAGTCTGATGTACCCTTCATCCTGCTTCTTCGCTTTTTTTTTTTTTTTTTTTTTCAAAGATGGAGTTTTTCTCTGTCACCAGCTGGAGCCTAATGGCATGCATGATCTGGGCTCACTGCAACCTCTGCCCTCCTGCCTCAGCCTCCCAAGTAGCTGGGATTACAGGCACGCACCATCACATCCAGCTAATTTTTGTAATTTTAGTAGAGATGGGTTTCACCATGTTGGTCAGGCTGATCTTGAATTCCTGACCTCAGGTGAGCCGCCCAACTTGGCATACCAAAGTGCTGGGATTATAGGCGTGAGCCACTGCATGCAGCCCCTTTATCCTACTTCTAATGGTGACATCTTATATTGCTGTAGTTCAACAACAAAACCAGGAAATTGACATACATAAATTGTTAACTTGATTAACTAGATTACATAATTTATTCCATTTTGCCATTTTTTTCAACTTTCATTCATGTGTATTCGTGTGTGCATGTGCATGCACACAGTTCTATGCAATTTGATCCTATTTACATATTCACGTGACCACTACCACCACAGTCAAGACACAGAACTGTTCCATCACCAGAGAATTCCCTTGTGCTATCTCTGTATTCACACTTCCCTCCAAAAACCCATCCTGTCCTCTGGCAACCACTAATTTGTACTCTTTTCTTTCCCACACTACAGTGATGTACAGTTCTCTATTTCTATAGTTCTGTCCTTTCAAGAATGTTACTTTAGGCCGGGCACCGTGGCTCATGCCTGTAAATCCCAGCACTCTGAGAGGCAGAGGTGGGTGGAACATGAGGTCAGGAAATAAGAGACCAACCTGGCCAACATGGTGAAACCCCGTCTCTACTAAAAATACAAAAAAAAAAAAAATTTAGCCAAGTATGGTGGTGGGCACCTGTAATCCCAGCCACTAGGGAGGCTGAGGCACAAGAATCTTTGAACCCAGGAGGGAGAGGTTGCAGTGAGCCAAGATTGCACCACTGTACTCCAGCCTGGCGAGAGAGTGAGACTATGTCTTAAAAACACAAGAATGTTAAACATTTAATACATTTTTGAATAGGTAACATACGGATTTTTTAACAGCTTTACTGAGGTATAAGTGACATATAATAAGCTACATATACTTAAAGTATAAATTTTGATAAGTTTTGACATAAGACTTTGAAACCATAATTAAGATACTGAACATTTCCATTATCTCCAAAAGTTTCCTTATGCTCCTTTATAATCTCCCCCTTCTGTTTCTCTTCCCACACTCCTACTGATTCTCACAAGTAATCACTGATCTGTTATTTGTCACAATAGATTAGCTTGCATTTTCTAGAATTTTATATGGAATTGTATGCACTCTTGTTTGAATAACTTCTTTCACTCAGTGTAATTATTTTGAGAGTCATTCAATCTGTCTATATTTCAATAGTTCTGTTTTTTAGTATTCTATTGTAGGGACATCACAATTTTGTTATCCATTCATTTGGTGGACACAAGTTTTTTTCAGTTTTAAGTCATTACAAATAGAACTGCTGTGAACACTTGTGTACAAGTCTTTGTGGAGACATACTTTTATTTGTCTTTGATAAATACTTAGTCGTGCACCGACTGCATCATATGGTGGTAGTATGTTTCACTTTTAAAGAAATTCCCAAAATAAATTCTAAAATGGTTGTACTAATAATAGGTGTGTGGTAGTATCCCACTGTGATTTTATTTGCATTTCCCCAATGACTGACGCTTAACCTCTTTTCAAGCACTTACTTACCAGCCACATATCTTTGCCGAAGAAAATATGTTTGAATTTTTGCCTATTCTTTTTCTTAGGTTTTCTTCTTAGTATTTAAATTTTAAAAATATATTTCAATACTTTCTGGAAACAAGGCCTAAATCAGATATGTGATTTGCAAATAATTCCTTCCAATCTGTAGCTTGTCTCTCCATTCCCTTTATGTTTCTGAAGAGCATAAGGTGTCAAACTTGATGAAGTCCAATTTATCATTTTTGTCCCTTTATGGATCATGTTTTTGATATCAAATCTAAGAAATTTTTATGTAATCTAAGATCACAAAGATTTTTTCCTATGTTTTCTTCTATAAGTTTTACAGTTTTGGGGTTTACATTTAGATCCATGATCCATTTTAATTTTTATATATTTTGTGAGGTATGGACCAATGATACTTTGTTTTTGCATATGGATATCCAATTACCCAGCACCATTTGTTGAAAACACTATCCCTTCTCTGCTCTCAGTTTTGTTGAAATGAAAACATTCATGAAACTATTTTAGATAGGTAGCACATTCACAATATTCTTAAAGTACAAAAATATTAAGTGAAAAACATCCCAGCTGCCCAGTTTCCTTCCTCAAAAATAATGTTGCCAGTTTATTATGGGTCATTTTAGAGACAGTCTATGCTTATACATGTGAATACATACATATATATATATTCTTTATCTCCCCATCCCTTTTATATCCAAATAGTAAAAATTACATACACTCTTCTGAACTTTTATTGTTTAAACTTAATAACATACACATCTTGAAGCAGTATTACAAACTATGGATACACTATTATTTAGCCAGTCTCTTATTGATGAGATTTTGGTTGCTTTCTCTGCAGCTATGAACCAACAATACTTCAGTAAGTAACCTTGTATACATGTCATGTGTACAAGCAAGTACATCAGTAGGAAAAAGTCCTAGAAGGACAATTGTAGGGTCAAAGTTGTGATAAATATTGCTAAATTGCCCTCCATAGGAAGTTGTATTGTTTTATAATCCCAATACAACAAAGAATGTTTTTTCCCCACATCTACCTCAACATTATTGAAGTCCTTAAACTTGAACATGTAACATGTAAAATACTTACTTTTTTTACAGAAAAGGATCCCAGAAGACTGCAAAGGATGGCAACTTACAGGTCCTGATAATCTACTGAATTTTGTTCTAGATAAGTACACAATATCATTTAAAAAATTCTAACAGTTTTTTAAGTGTGTATATGTGTGTGTGTGTGTGTGTGTGTGTGTGTGTGTATCAGTATGTATACACACATATACACACACGCTTATAAAAGCAAAAGTGCCACTAGATGTTTACAGAAGGAGTCTAAATAGTAGTAGTGAGGCAGGAGAATAGGGTCCTGAGGCAGAGAATTTAAGGCCAATTTGTGCTGACTTCCTAAAAGAGAAAACACCAAGGTCTGGGGGCAGGGAATCTGAGGCCATCTTGTGCTGACTTCCCGAAACTGGATCAAAAGGAAAACACCTGGGTTTGGGGACAGGGACTCTAAGTCTCCCTAATACCAACTTCCAAAAGCTAAACCAAAAGGAAAAATCCCATCTCCCCAGCAAGTAGCAAAGGATCAAGGCTAATCTCTCTACAATCCTCCCCCTTCTACCACGTCTCAGATGGAAAGGGAGAGTGCCTTGGATAGGCCTTGGGCCAGGAATGGCTATTCCTTCATCAGCATAGGAGGTCAATTCACCTCAGCCTTTAGCCACAGGCCAAATCCTTCATCCAGATAAGAGGTAGCCAATAGGGACCTCAAAAAGAGTACTTAAAACCCAGAAAACTTTGTAAACAGGCCCTTGAGCCACTTGCAGGCCCACTCCCACTGCCGAGTGCTTTCTCTTTTATTAATAAATCTCTGCTTTGGCTGCTTCCCTCCTGTTTCATTCTTTGCTACTTTGTGCGCTTTGTTCAATTCTTTGTTCAAAACACCAAGGACTGGACAACTCACACGCACAGCCCTCCTTCCAGGAACAGTAGCCCTCTCTAGAAGGTAAGCTACAGTATTTTCTATTTCTAGATATCAGGTAAAGATGAATGCTCTAACAAATTTTCTCAAGAAAATATTTTCCAAAGTTAAATTTCTTAGGGTTTCTTGAATTAAGTTATTTCTACTTGAAAATGAGGCTTTATCCAAGCATTTTAGGTCAAATGTTAAGATTAGGTAGAAAGTTTCCATTTAAAAAAAAAAATCAAAATTATATAAAATGAACTCAGTAGTTACTGTTACGCTAAATTTTCTATATCTGAAACCAATTATATGATGGCTAGGACAGTGGATTCAATCTATGTTAGTTTTTTTCTGTTTGTTAAAAACCTTATTCCCTTGTTACTCATTTCTTCAAGCATTATCTTTCTGGACTGTTAATACTTCATTCTTGTATAAATTTAAATTTTTCTTAAGACTTAATTTGTGGTCTTCACTTACCGAGTCCCGTTTAAAAAAATGTGGTGATTCATCATTTACTAAAGGTCTTGAGGCAAGAATCTCTATTTTGCCTTCCAGTCTTCCCTCCATGGTTTTAATAGCATTCAAAAGAGTCTTTAGAGAGATCTTAGAGTCTCCAATATCCTGAGATGTTTTCATAGAAGGCAGGTTAGGTGCAAAGCTCACATGGCGTGTAGAGTTTGGAACAACACTAGGCAAACCAACTGATGACGTTCTATCCTTTATACTGTTTACATGGGACCTAGAGATTTCAGGGGATTTTGAAGATGCAGGCCTCTCTGGAGATTTCCTTTTTCTTAGAGGCATCGTCAATTATTAATAAAAACAATAAAATCAGCTAAAACCTAGAGTTACCTTTCAAGTAATAGCCACTTTACTAGGCGAACACCACAAATAGTGTTCTAGAAGGAGCCGAAATAAAAAATATATTTGAAAATGTGTTTCTTTGCTTTCAGAATGAAGAGATCACACTTTATGACCCAGTGAAGAAACAGACCTTACGCCAACTTCCCTGTCAAAGAGCCTGTCAGAGCGTGTATCTAATGAGGCCCCCCTCTAACAACTCTGTGACCTCAATGCTCATCAGCAGAGTCAAGGAGTTAGAATCCTATGAGTATTCCATTTGAAAACATATTTTAGTTCCTTGGTTACCAGGGAAGATACACAAATATCATAGACACAGAAGTTACATATGCTTTTATTAAGAGTTAACGATTTTAAAAATAACCTAATGATATGCGTGCTAAATGTGTAAATAATTGCAATTAATCATTTTCTTCTGGTAACACCTTCCTGGGGTATGTTCTTCGCTAAATGTTTTCAATATATTGCTTAACTTTTTCTATTCATTTGTTAAAATATTATGTGACCTATGAAAGGTTTTTAGCCTCAAGAGCCACCATGCTGACAAGTAAGCACCTTCACTACCAATACCTCTTTCAGGCGAGCATCTGCCTGTTGCAGGTGTACCTTCTTGGCACTGAGTTCTGAGTTTGCCTTTAATTAAAAAAAAAAACAAAGACACTTGTTCCTCACAACTGCCAAAATTTGTAAGGCTCAAGTTCAAAAAGCACTGCCTTTATGAAAGCATTTCTCACTACTTCTACTCATATTAATGCTCCCAATCAATGTTCAGTATTACAATCTATTTTTCTGAAAAGCATAATTTTCTATTCTCTAATAAAGTCTATGGAGTACATTTCCTAACTATAATAAGCAAGTTGAATGTCTCAATGCTGTGTCAGGTATCTTTACAAATTTCTGAGGCTTAGCAAAACCTTGTATCTACTAGGTGCTTTTAAAAAAGTTTGTTAAATTGAGTCAAGGGGCAGGCTATTTATCTTTCTAGGATTGCATGATAAAGTAGGGAGAAAGATGTCAATTTCTTAAAAACTAAACATAGATGAGAATGATGGTTTCCAGCTTCATCCATGTCCCTGCAAAGGACATGAACTCATCCTTTTTATGGCTGCATAGTAGTCCATGGTGTATATGTGCCACATTTTCTTTATCCAGTCTATGATTGATGGGTATTTGGGTTGGTTCCAAGTCATTGCTATTGTGAAGAGTACTGCAATAAACATTCATGAGCATGTGTAATAGAACAGAAAACCAAACACCGCGGGTGTTGAACAATGAGAACACATGGACACAAGGAGGGGAACATCACACACCACAGCCTGTTGGGGGATGGACAGCTAGGGAAGGGATAGCGGGGAATGGGAGGATTGGGGAGGGATAGAATTAGGAGAAATATCTAACATAGATGGCGGGGTGATGGATGCAGCAAACCACCATGGCACGTCTATACCTATGTAATAAACCTGCACATATACCCCAGAACCTAAATTATAATAAATTTAAAAAAAATCAATGAACTACATACATATATATATTTGCCAACACGTAATAAAATTTTTAAATAGAAGTAAAAATAAATAAAGAGCACTTTTCTTTGCACAACGGAAAGATACTTGGAAAAATGATAGTGTTTCTTGATCACTTCAGCCAGAGAACAAAAGCAAAAACAGAAACAAAAAAATAGACCAAAAAAAAACTAAATATAGCAGCAATTCACTTTTGTAGATATTAATCACACCTGAACATATTTGGCCTGTAGCACCTTATTCAACTTTCGTAGTTGGTCATTCTGTAAGCTGGTGTCAGTAAAAGATTGTACTTGTTCTTCTAGCTGTTTAACTTTTATCTAGAGGAAAAACAAAAATAGAGAAAAATAATTTTAAAAATAAAGACATTTAAAAATATATATTTACACATATTTCTATACTCCAGGAGGGGGAAAAAGGTCATGAGTTGAAAAAAAAAAAACAAAAAAAAAAAACCAGAATCCTTAAAACTTGCAAAAAACAATCCTAAGTTTAATCATGCAAAAAATGATTTAGACACTGTAGCCATTTAATTGCACTGAGGTAATTCATTTGGTTTCTAGTGCTTACAGACCTCCAAATGGACATGACACATGAATATAACTGAGATTTTGTGGCTAACATAATTCAGAAATTTGTGGCTAATATATTTGAATCGTGGTACCTGGCATTCAAAATCCTTTTGAGTATGTATAATTAGAACTGTCAATGCAAGCAGCAGACATATCAGACCAGAAGAATGGAGGGGGGAGCAGGGGGAACAGGCAGAGAGTCTTGTATTTCACTGACGCAGAATTACAAAAGTTGAATAAATGGAATTCTTATATGTTGAATTATATTTTAAAACTAATTCACAAAGATGACTACTCACATGTCTCTCTTTAAAGAAAATTATCATTTTGGAGGATAAAATCATTTAATATATACTCATAAATCTCCAAATTATGTGTTTTTCCATATTTGCTTCCTTTTATCCCCAACCCCCTCACATACAACAATTAGCATTACTGAACCTACCCCTAAATCAGGAAAATTTTCATTCAAATTTTTTTTATTTAATTCCATCTCTCAGTATCTTGTTTCCTATCTGTAGAGGTAAAACATCTATTTCACTGCAGCTACTGGACATTTTCAGCAACTGTTAAAATTTGAATGTGTTAGAAGTCAGGATGGTTAATAGGCCCTGTGGGTGACAGTTACTGGAAGAAGGTGCTGGGTGTTGGGGATGTTCTGCTTCTTGATCTGAGTGCTGATCACATAGCTACATTTACTTTATAAAAATTCATGAGGCTGTGCCCTGTGTACTTTTCAGATATATGTTATAGTTCAACAAGAAATTAACTGAAAAACCAAAGTATACCAAGCCCCTACCTAACTTCTAAATTAAGGTCACAAATGCAATTGCTTACTGGGGCCAGGCAGCTAACACAATGTTGAAATCCTATTGGTTAGGTGATGGGGCCAATGGTAGATTAGAGTGAGGCCAAGTAACTCAAACTGACATATGTTTAAAAACAACTTAAAAAGTGTTGGAAATCTTTCAGACATATATACCATATATCCCATTTATCCACCACTGAACTTAATAAAACATTACCGGTACAATTGAAAGCGTCTGTGTAGCCTACCCCAACCAAACCTCCTCTTTCTATCCTAGAGTTAACTATTATGCTGAATTTATCATCCCTACTCTTTAAAAAGTAACTTTATATGTATCCCTAAACAGTATATAGTATTGTTTTATGAGATTCATCCATGTTAACACATGTAACTCTAATGTACCTATTTAATATACCCTCTTAAATATACTGATTTTAAAACTAGCCTAACTACTTTTAGGGGAAATGTGAAAAAATTTAGTGAAGTTCAGGATATGCACATCCTAAAACCCAATAATTCTACTCCTCAGAATTATATTTAACTGAGAGCATCTTTTGTATGTGAGTATAAGGAGACAGGTACAAAATTCATCAGATCATTATTGTTATTGTTTGCAATCAATTAGAAACTAGCTGATTATCCATCAACAGAAGAGTAAATACATTGTGGCATATTTACATAATTGAATACTGTGCAGCACTGAAAAGGAAGTTCAAACCATGTTTGAACATGAGGCAGCAGTTTCCAATACAGTCTAAGTTAACACACGAAGTCCAGTATTTACATCACTCATTAACAAGTTGATTCTGAAAATGCAGTCTTTTACCAAATACGATTCCTATGTATATTTTTAATCCATTCTAATCCAGTTGAGAGAGAACACACAGCAGACTACTGTTCTGACAATGTTTAGTATACAGCTCTTCCTTTAAACTGTCTTGTAAGTGCTCCAAGAGCATTTTTCCTAGAGCTCATGAAGTCACTGCTTTTGGAATGTGGCAGCCCAAGACCTGACATAAAAGCACCAATGAATCAACAGTTTACAATAGTTCAAAAAGTATTTCTTCAAAGACTATCAAAAATCTTAAACTCTTATTATATGAATATGAACAGCAAAAAGGCACATATTGTTCCTTATGATTACATACAATCTAGATAATTTCTAAGATTGCATAGTTGAGGTTTAAAAGGTCAGACAGATAACATCAGACCCATTCATAAATTATAAAATATATTCCATTCTCAGTCAAAATTTGGCTTTAAGTCTGTCGTGAGGGCCTGGGATTTGTCTTATATATTTAATAATACACTTCATTTTTCTTGGGAAAGCTAAAAAAAAAAAGGTTAAAGTCATGGGTCACAGCCTTTTATGAGATCATTCATTTCACAAAGGAGAAAGTTATTTTATGCTTGTAAAAATGTATACACCCAGCCTGTAATGTAGCCTATTTTTCCCAATGAGAAGTAGGTAAGAGAGGTGTGCTTATCCTCATTTTACAGATGATTAAGATGAAACTCAAGAACATTAAGACCTTTCCATGGTCACACAAGTGTAGATACTAAATGCATCGCTACCTCTGGAAAATATTAATAGATGAAGCTATTTGTCCACTATTTTTATTTTGACAACTATTTTATGGATGAATAATATTTTTGTGAACTCAGGCAGAAATCCTGTCTCCATGGATAAACAAGTCTATTCAACTGCCTCTGTTTCCAGGGTTATTTCTTTTTAGAAATGTGTTATAAAAATTCAGCAAAAAGAGCTATAGGCTTTCTACATTCTCAATGAATGACCATGCACAAAATTATTATAATAAAGCTTGAAACAATTACAGAATAGGTTTTGGCTTCATAATTTTAGGTTTCAGCAACTATAGGCTTGTAAATATAAGTCACCTGGAGATTAATGAGGCCACAAACTTAGGGATGTTCAGACACTATAGACTTAGTACATGACAGAGCTAGGTATTCTTAAAATCTAGCAATATTTGAAAATTGGTATTTTTAAAATTATACTTTAAGTTCTGGGGTATATGTGCAGAATGTGCAGGTTTGTTACATACCACGGCACAAGTATGCAAATGCCATGGTGGTTTGGTGCACCCATCAACCCATCATCTACATTAGGTATTTCTCCTAATGCCATCCCTCCCCTAGCCGTCCACCCCCAACAGGCACTGGTGTGTGATGTTCCCCTCCCTGTGTACGTGTGTTCTCATTGTTCAACTCCCACTATGAGTGAGAACATGTGGTGTTTGGTTTTCTGTTCCTGTGTTACTCTGAGAATGATGGTTTCCAGCTTCATCCATGTCCCTGTAAAGGACATAAACTCATCCTTTTTATGGCTACATAGTATTCCATGGTGTATATGTGCCACATTTTCTTTATCTAGTCTATCACTGATGGGCATTTGGGTTGGTTCCAAGTCTTTGCTATTGTGAATAGTGCTGCAATAAACATACATGTGCATGTGTCTTTATAGCAGAATGACTTACAATCCTTTGGGTATATACCAAGTAATGGGATTGCTGGGTCAAATGGTATTTCTGGTTCTAATCCTTGAGGAATCGCCACACTGTCTTCCACAATGGTTGAACTAATTTACCCTCCCACCAACAGTGTAAAAGGGTTCCTATTTCTCCACATCCTCCCCAGCATCTGTGTTTCCTGACTTTTTTTTTTTTAAAGGTAATTTAACAGAAATGTTTAGTTTAATGCCATAATTAAAAAAACAACCAACCAATCAACTTTCTCTTCTACCTATGGAAAAAACAGTAAAAATGAATCAAGAACTTCTCGCTTTTTTTTCATAAAACAGTTTAAAAAGAAGAAGGGGAAGACTAGGGAGCTGGTGCAACTGTTGCTAATGGAATGCTATAATGCACAAGGTCAAGGATTTATAAGTTCTAAAAGTCTCTACACGTATCAGTGATAACTCTATTATTAGAAATATAAATGCATAGAAATATATAGTATTAAAAACAGACCTTGCTAATATAAACATATATAAAATATGTCACTTCTCTTGTAATAATAGTATAAAGATGGATCTACAGTTTGCCCTTTGCCTGGTACTCTGAAACCACTCCCCCAATGGTCAATACTGACCTTGAATCAACAGCCGCTGAACCCAGGAGACCCCACAGATGTCTAGATTCAGCACCTAGAGGACCCCACCTACTCTCTATGCTGTGTGTTCCCATGACTCCAGAAATAATTGCAATGCGCATTACTAAGTCCACAGGCAAGTTTGAAATCTAACTAGAAAAAGTAGCAGCAAAGGAAAAATAAGCTGGAATTTGTTAGAAAAGCAATGAGAAGGTTTCTTAAAATGCTTCCAGTTCAAGTCAGAATTAAGGCGAACATTAGGTTCCACCATCTTTGCAGAGCTGTAGGTGTTTTGCTGTTGTGCTTCCAAAAAAGAAGAATCTATAATAACCATGTTCATTTGAGAAAAATACTGCGTTTGTCAACTTTTTCTAGCCACCCGCAAGTTACTTTAAACTTTGTATGTTGTTCAAGAACAGAGTATATCCTGGTTAGGATGTGTTTATAGCTGATACATCCCCAAAAAATTTTTCATGAAGGCGGCCATCTTCTAAACATATTCAATTGTGACAGCATTATACAGAGAGGCCCAGATGTCTCCCACAGACCTATGTCCTTTTAAGGACAACATAGTGAGTTCAAGAGCTTTATCGAGAAATCCTTTTTCTAAAGCATCATCTCCTTTGGCATTGCCAATATGGAATGGAATATTCATCTTGTTTCTATTTTGGGGTTCCACTGGACATACACAGAATCCGTGAGAATTATTAATAATCTCATATATCATTTAGGATTTGATGAAGCTAAGCTTCTCCATGGCCATGGCACCTCCATTGTTTTTAATCCACTCCAGGACCAAGCCCATGAAGTAAAATGCTGAAATATGGAGGCATGTTGTACAAGGAGCTGTTTCTAGCCTGCACTTTGTATTCCAGGACCAAGGGGCACTCTCAGAGGGCAAACCCCAGCAGGTCATCATGGACAATCACCACGGTGACCCCAGCAGAGCCAACATTCTTCTGGGCACTACAAAAAAATCACACCAAATTTGGAAACATCCACTGACTTAGATAGTAAGTTTGAGGACATGTCGCAAACCAGTACTGCTCGACATCAGGTATAAAGTCAAACTCCACACCATGCACTGTCTCATTTGCACAGTAATACACGTAGGAGGCATACGGGGTGAGGTTCTAGGTGCTTGGATCTGGAATTTTTGTTTAGAGTGAACAATATTTATAGTCCCAAACTTCTTGGCTTCTTCTGTGGCCTTAGCTGACCAAACTCCTGTCACCACACAGACCGCACACCTTCCTGCTTCCAAGCCAGTCAGGTTTAAGGGGACAGCACTGAACTGGCTGGACCCACCTCCTTGCACAAAAATCACCTTATAGTTGTCTGGAATGGCTAACAATTCCTGCAAAAGATTCTCTGTATTGTTAATAATCTTGGCAAAATCTGACGATCTGTGACTCATTTCAAGAACACTAATGCCAACTCTGTAGTCTAATATTCCTTTTGTATCTCTAACAACACTGAGTGTGGTAGTTTGGTGGGACCAGGTCTGAAGTTGACCACCTGTCTCAGGGTATTCATGGTGCAGCAGTGAGGGCGGTAGGTCAGTCAAGGAAGACTGAACACGTGAAACATTTCCTGGCTTTTTAATGATCACCATTCTAAGTGACGTGAGATGGTATCTCATTGTGGTTTTGATTTGCATTTCTCTAATGACCAGTGATGATGAGCTTTATTTCATATGTTTGTTGGCCATATAAATGTCATCTTGAGAAGTGTCTGTTCATACCCTTCACCAATTTTTCGATGGGGTTGTTTTTTTCCTGTAAATTTGTTTAAGTTCCATGTAGATTCTGGATATTAGCCCTTTGTCAGATGGATAGATTGCACAAATTTTCCCCTATTCTGCAGGTTGCCTGTTCACTCTGATGATATTTTATTTTGCTGTACAGAAGCTCCTTAGTTTAATTAGATCCCATTTGTCAACTTTGGCTTTTGTTGCCATTGCTTTTGGTATTTTAGTCATAAAGCCTTTGCCCATGCCTATGTCCTGAATGATACTGCCTAGGTTTTCTTCTAGGGTTTTTATGGTTTCAGGTCTTACATTTAAGTCTTTAAGCCATCATGAGTTAATTTTTGTATAAGGTATATGAAAGGGGTCCTGTTTCAGTTTTCTGTATACAGCTTGCCAGTTTTACCAACACCATTTATTAAATAGGGAATCCTTTCCTCATTGCTTGTTTCTGACAATTGGTATTCTTAAAATTCAGACAAGAAAAATCAGAAAATAAATCTCATACCTGGAGTTTTCCCTTTTCATAGGCCAGTTTATTTTTACTTTCAGTAATTTTTCCCAAGACATTTTCCACCTTCTGTTGGACAAGCTGATAAGGCAAACACAGGCATCAGAATCTCTAAGCATAGAAAGGAATAACCATTTTCATTTTTATACAAGTATTTATATCCTTACCATTTCTATCATCATAAGATCAAGATTCCTATTTATTTGCTACTGCTGCCTTTTAATCTTTCCCAACATAGTTGATCACATGGCTAATATGCAACATGTACAGACTGCTAATAAAAGCATGAAGCCTTAAGAGTACCAGGGTTTGTTGGTTTGTATATTAACTCTTTTTTTGTTATGTCAGTTATTCCTTTGTAATTATGATCCAACCCAGATGTGGTGTGGTTATATGAGTGACTGCAAGTAGTCGGTAGAGCATTACACAATTCTTGATGAAAATAGCAGCTGCAAATGACCACAACCACTGACAGCAGAAGGCACCTCACTTACCATGGTAAAAAGCTGTTCAGAAAAATCTCAAAAACAAAATAAATGTTTATTGGAGACTCGAACTCATTGATCAACTACTCAACACAGCATTATCTGGGGCAAACATTCTATATTTCACAAAATTACATATTTTCATTATTTAAACAGCCCTTAATAACAACAATTATTTTTTAATATGCTGTTGTTCTCAGACTATATCAGAAAAAATAAGTACAAAATATAGTTTTCTTTTGATTAAACTTTGGGCCATACTGGTACTTTCTTTATATGAGGGGCATCATTAACTGATTGAACATGGAGATTTTCACTCTCCACAATCAATGCCAGTATTATATCTTAATAACAGGAAAAATAGCCATAGGTCAAAATTATCATAAAGCAAATGTGGAGATAAAGGACACACAAGCAAATGTGACTAAGGACACAAACTCTTAATCACTCATAAGCTAACTAGCTGCACTGTGGATCATTTGCAGTAAATATTAAGTTCAAAGTCTTATTAATGTTGGCAAGTATCTTACATTGACATTATTCACTATTTCTGGTTTATATTTGCTTATTTGGTGAATAATAGAACAGAATGTCTTTTAGGCATTTTAAGCCAAAGAATTTTAGACTTTTGTTTTATGTTCAACTTTAGGTAAGCTGATAAAGATAAAACCCATGCATCAATTTACATAGGAGATATTCCTCATCATTTCCAACATGATTACAGCTATTCTTTAGTCACCACTTTGTAATATCCTTTATTTCAAGTATGTGAACCCAACACAACTGCTTCTAAATAAAAGAAAAAAATTCCAAATTAGATTACTATAATATGTAACTCAGATTTTCCTCTGTTCAAAATATTTTCTATGAGAAGGTACACTAAGCTGGGCATGGTGGCTCACACCTGTAATCCCAGCACTTCAGGTGGCTGAGGTGGGAGGATCACTTGAGGGCAGGAATTCAAGACCAGTATGGTCAACATAGCAAGACCCTGTCTCTAAAAAATTTTAAAAAATTAGCTGGGCATAGAGGTGCACACTTTTAGTCCTAGTTACTTGAGAGGCTGAAGTGGGAAAATTGCTTGAACTCAGCAAGTCGAGGCTAGAGTGAGCTGTGATGGTGCCATTACACTCCAGCCTGGAAGACCAAGCAAGACCGCCATCTCTAAAGAAGAAAAAAGAAAAAAAAAGAAGGCACAGTAGGCTGACGCACTGTTTTCTACTTAGCAGTTGCCTTGGCTAGAAGAATTTGCATTTTTGACATTCAACACTTGTAAAAAATCTATGGAAAAGCCAAAAAGAATTATTAGCCCTTATATGCCACCTACCCTAAAATGATACACCTTTGATATAAAAACTTATATCCAATACTAGGCTTTGGTGAATTATTAACTATCATGACCAAGTATTTGTCCTGTCAGAATTAATATTTCATACATTATTAAAAATATTCATAATTCAGTTTTTAAAAGTTTTAAAAATCACCGTGGCCCAGGCACGGTGGCTCACGCCTGTAATCCCAGCACTTTGGGAGGCTGAGGCGGGCAGATCATAAGGTCAAGAGATCGAGACTATACTGGAAAACAGATCAAGACCATCCTGGCCAACATGGGGAAATTCCATCTCTACTAAAAATACAAAAATTAGCTGGACGTGGTGGTGCATGCCTGTAGTCCCAGCTACTCGGGAGACTGAGGCAGGAGAAAAACCTGAACCCAAGAGACAAAGGTTGCAGTGAGCCGAGATTGTACCATTGCACTCCCTGGCAACAAAGCAAGGGTCTGTTTCAAAAAAAAAATAATGATGATAACTGTACTGCTCCTCCTAAGGCAAAGGAAAATATATTTTAAAAAGCATTTAGACAAGTAGAGTAGGATTATGTTGACCAAGTCTTCAGCAGCAAAATAAATTTTGCAAGGATGGTCAATAATACCTCAAAAGCAAAGGTACAACAATAAAACCTTAATTATTTAAAATTTGATTCAAACTTCTACAAATTAACATGTCCCAGTGTGCTGTAAAGCATAGGTAGAACATATGAAAAACCAAGAACTAGAGTTAACTTAAAATATGCGAGTTCTAATGAACAGTAAACACTAAAAAAATAACTATCTTCTTGAAATGTAGGAAGGTTTTATTAAGGAATAAATTATGTGTCTTCTATAAAAGTTGACCAAAAATTTTAAAAATAATGGTACTTTTTCCCATCAATAAAATTCCCTCTTTTAGACAAAGGCATAAAGAAATTCTTAATCTTTTAAATATACTTTTAAAATAATAATTTTCTCATTTTGCCCTCAAAGAGAATGCTAATATACTAAATGAAAATTGTCTGAGCAAAATCAGAATGTAATATTTGACAAAGGTTTACTTATTTAATTATGACACATACACAAAAATTGTTCCCAGTTGCTAAGGGAAAGTGGATGTTAAGGCAGTTACTTAAATTACTGTTTACAGATTTAAATAGGCCCTGTACTTTAGTCAACAGGAGACCAGAAATTAGAAACCACTTAAATGAGTGAATACCTCAGGTTCTGAGTTATAAAAGACTCAACTAATATTAACTTTGCTTAAATGCTCTTGGTAACATACTATAAACATTATTAATATACACAGCAAAACAGAAACTGGGGAATCACTTAAGAAACATCATACAGAGGAGGACGATCCAAGATGGCTGTTTAGGAACAGCTCAGGATTGCAGCTCCCAGTGAAAGCGCAGAGGGTGAGTGGACGCCGCGTTTTTATTGCCCACAGACTAGGAAATTCCCAGGCAGAGGAGCTCCACGGTCGCCGGCGCGGCTGTGCCGGCCAGCGCCGCTGCTTTGCCCCGCGCAGCTGCTTTGTCGGCGCCCCGGAGCCGCGGTTCTCCGTACAAAATACACCGGTCCGGGTGCCCTTTTGGCTGACGACTGGAGCCACGGGAAGTCGCCCATTCGCCGGTTCAAAAAGGGGACTGAGCAGAGAACCAGGACAGTAGATTCCAGGGCAAAAAAAAAAAAAGCGACACAAACCTCAGTGCCACAGTGAGTGGCCGCAGGGGAAAACAAACAGACCCCAGCGCCTCTTCAACAGGCAACTGGAACACCAACTTAAAAAAGGCTCTGAGGCAGGGAGCCAGGCCATCAGGCTCGGCTGGCCCCACCCCCACAAAAGAACGGCAACCAGAATCTCTGGATTGAGACTTTCACAGCAAGCACAGCTGAACCCGGGATGGTCCAGCTCTGTGGGGGAGGGGCGTCCGCCATTACCGAGGCAGCCCGCCGTTGCCAAGGCAACCCGCCATTGCTGAGGCAGCCCGACATTGCCAGGGCAACCCGCCACAGCAAAGAGACTCCGCCTCAATAGAGGCGGGCCACCATCGCCAAAGCAGTTCTAACTACACCCATATAAACAGGACTGCAGGGAAGTACACTCGGCAGCGGGGCGGAGCCCACAGCTGCCCAGCAAAGCTGCTATAGGCCGACAGTGACTAGGCTGCCTCCTTGCTGGGCTGGGCAGGTCTGAAGGAGAAAAAAAAAAAAAAAAGAAGGCAGCAGCGTAACGGAAACTCATAAATAAAGCCCCAAATCCCTGGGACAGAGCACCTGGGAACAAAAAGCAGCTTATGAGTTCTGCTGCAGCAGACCTAAAAGTACCTGCCCAGCAGCTCTGAATGAACAACAACAGAGCACACAGCTCACCATTTGAACTCCTATAAAGAAGAGACCTCAAGCAGCTCCCTGACCCCTATATATCCAAAAAGATACCTCATAAAAGAGAGATCAGATTGACACTAGGCGGGTATCCTTCTGGGACAAAGATAGAAGAAGAAGAAAACTGGTAACAACCCTTGCTGTTCAGCAGCTGCTGCAGGTGAACCCCAGGCAAGCAGGGCCTGGAGTGAACCTCAGCAGACCTACAGCAGAGGCGCCAGGCTGTCAGAAGGAAAACCAAGAAACAGAAATAACCTCATCATCAACAAACAGAACGTCAATCTGAAAGATTTGAGACGCAATCTGAAAGCCAGCAACTACAAAGTCGACAGGTGGATAAATCCATAAAGATGGGAAGAAACCAGCGCAAAAAGGATGAAAACACCCGAAACCAGAACACCTCTCCTCCTAAAAGGGTTCACAACTCCTCACCAGCAAGGGAACAAGGTTGGATGGAGAACGAGTGTGATGAAATGACAGAATCAGACTTCAGAAGGTGGGTAGTAAGAAACTTCTGTGAACTTAAAGAACATGTTCTAACCAAATGCAAAGAAACTAAGAACCTTGAAAAAAGATTTGATGAAATGCAAACAAGAATGGACAACTTAGAAAGGAATATAAGTGAATTGATGGAGCTGAAAAACGCAACACGAGAACTTCGTGAAGCATGCACAAGTATCAATAGCCGAATTGACCAAGCAGAAGAAAGGATATCAGAGGTCGAAGATCAACTCAATGAAATAAAACGGGAAGGCAAGACTGGAGAAAAAAGGGTAAAAAGGAATGAACAAAGTCTCCAAGAAATGTGGGACTATGTGAAAAGACCTAATCTACGTTTGATAAGCGTACCCGAATGTGACGAAGAGAATGAATCCAAGCTGGAAAATACTCTTCAGGAT